TGAAGCAGCTGGAGAAGGATGGAGCCGTTAAGGGCTTGAAGCTGAACGGACAACCACCCGATGATAACTGTGAAATCTGTTTGCTCTCAAAGTTTACCCGTTTCCCCTTCCATAGTGTGGCTGGCAGGAGCAAAAAGCCGTTGGAGCTGGTCCACATGGACTTGGTGGGGCCGCTGCCGGTGCAAGGGCACAAGGGGGGCGGTACTTCCTAACCATAGTGGATGACTGGAGCAGGCTAATGTGGGCGTATCCGCTGAAGCAGAAAGATCACGCCGCCTCCACGATTCGGGACGATTGGCTGCCGTTCGTGGAGAAGCAAGCGGAGTGTGTGGTGAAGCGGATTAGGACAGATCGGGGTGGTGAGTTCCTTGGAGCTGAGATGACGGCCTGGCTCAAGAAGCAGGGCATCCAGAGGGAGCTGACCACGGCTTACACCCCACAGTCTAACGGTGTAGCAGAACGGGCGAACCGGACAATTCTGGAGACAGCTAGGGCGCTGCTCATAGAATCTGGGCTGGGCAACTTGATGTGGCCCCATGCTGTTCGGCACGCTACCGTCGCTAGGAACAGGGTACTCACAAAGGTTGGGGATGACTCGTGGGTGCCGTTGGAGAGGTGGCTTGGGAGGAAGCCGCCGGTGGACATGCTGAGGGTGTTCGGTTGCATGGCAGTCGCCCACGTCCCCAAGACCTACCGCAGTAAGTTGGGGGCAAGTGCAATCTGGTGTGTGCATTTGGGGCTGGCAGCTGAAAGCAAGGGATGGCTGATGTGGGAGCCTTCCAAGGGTGTGTTGTTTGACAGCAGGGATGTGAAGTTTGTTGAGGGCATGATGTATGGGAGCTGGGAGAAACAGCCGGAGGCCAGGGTGTCCCAGCAGATGGAGCAGATTACCATGCAGCTGGACCTGACTCCTAGTGTGTGGGAGGAGGGAGAGGAGGCAGCTGCAGAGGGTGGTGATAAAGAGAAGGTGCAGGAGGCACCTGCTGGTGGAGGTGATGGTGTGGAGATTAGCGGTAGCACTAGTGGAGCTGCTGGATCCGAGGGAGGAGAGCAGCAGCAGGGGAAAACTAAGAAGCCGAAGGGTGTTGTTATGAAGGGATGGGAGACACCCGTCTCCAGGCCAGGACGTACCCGTATGGCTACTAAGAAGCTGACTGCAGGAGCTGATGTAGCGGAGCAGCAGCTTGGGACCGAGGAGGCATTGCTGATTCTACCGCATGGCTATGACCCGGATGAGGAGGATCAACCTGCGTACTGTTTTCTTGCCCCTGCACCAGAGGAACCAGCTAGCATGGAGGAGGCATTAGCTGGACCAGATAGGGACAAATGGCTAGCTTCCAGGGATGCTGAGTACCAGAGCCTGCTGGAGAATGGGACTTGGGAACTAGTGGTGCTGCCTGAGGGAAAGAAAGCGGTACAATGCAAGTGGGTGCTAAGGATCAAGACTGACGACAAGGGGCAGGTCACCATCTACAAGAGTAGGTTGGTGGCTAAGGGGTTTATGCAGAAGGAGAAGCGGGACTTCAATGAGATCTTTGCTCCCACTGCTAAACCCCCTACCCTTCGTGTCTTGTTGGCAGATGCAGCCGTTAGTGGGAAGTTCATTATCCAGATGGACATATCAACGGCATTTCTCAACGGGATTTTAGAGGAGGAGGTGTTCATGACGCAGCCACCTGGGTATGAGGATGGTACGGGCAGGGTGTGCAAGCTGAAAAAGTCTATCTACGGCTTGAAGCAGGCGCCACGCTGCTGGTACCAGAAGTTGGCAGCTGTTTTAGAGGAGATGGGATTCAGGACCAGCAGCTGTGATGAGAGCCTCTTTCTCAAGGGGGAGGGGGAGAAGCTGGTGCTGTTTCTGGTCTATGTGGACGACATTCTTCTCTTTAGCAGCAGCATGAAGGAGATCCAGAAGGTGCAGCAGCAGCTGATGGAGAACTTCAAGTGCAAGAACCTTGGGGAGGTAAAGTACTACCTCGGGATGCACGTGGAGAGGGATCTGGATCACAGGTGGTTGAAGCTGCACCAGGAGAAGTTCATCAAGGAGCTTGGGGAGAAGTACGGAATTGAGAATGAGCGCAAGGTTGCAACTCCCCTGCCAGCAGAATTCAAGCTTGTGAAAGCTGCAGAGGATGAAGGGGTTGAAGCCGAGGAGCAGCAGCAATTTCAGTCCTTGGTGGGCAGCCTCTTGTATGCAGCAGTTCACACGAGACCCGACATCTCTTTCTCGGTTGGGCAGCTGGCTAGGGTAGTGCAGAATCCATCAGAGGAGCAGGTGGATGCAGCTGAGCGTGTGGTGAAGTATCTGAACTCTCACCCAAGCATTGGAGTTCAATACTCCGCATCTGCACAGGTGAAGCAGAAAGGGGTTGAGGTGCTGAAAGAGAAGGGGGAGAGGCTTGGAGAAGGCAAGCTTTTTCTCACTTGCTTTACTGATGCTACGTGGGCCTCTGAGAAGGAGGATTCCTCATCTGTGGGAGGATACATCTGCGTAGTTGGGGGAGGACCGGTTAGTTGGAGGTCAAAGAAGCAGACGGAGACAGCACTCTCTTCCGTGGAGTCAGAGTACATGGCGATGTTCCATGGGGTGAAGGAGGTGATTTGGCTGAGGAGGTTGTTAGAGGAGATTGGCCAGGAGCAGAAGGTTGCTACGCCGCTGTTTTGTGATAGCAAGGGAGCTCTTGGGATGGCCAGGAACGCTGTGCTTCATGGGCTGAACAAGCACATGCGTATCAAGTGGCACTGGCTGCGTAAGGAGGTGAAGAGGGGGACGGTGAATCCGATCTACATCAAGACTCACCAGCAGCCAGCGGACTTCCTCACCAAGAGGCTTGCGGATGAGTCTCATTGGCGTTGTGTGCGCATGAGTGGAATGAGCATGAACTAGTATGGAATGATGGGGATGCAGCCGGCAGGCTGAGGGGGAGTGTGTTGGGTGCAAATTCACATTGCACGACATCCTGCCGTCTGTTTGTACGAGTATGCGTGTGCGAATGCATTTGCGTGTGAATGGTATGTTTGTGTGTTTGTTTGCTTTCGCAATTTTCGCTTGAAGCATTTGCAGGTACTCGCAAAATGTGCGCTTCGGCATAACATTGTACGCGCTATGAACAGTACAAGCAGAAAGGACGAGCTCGCAAAGGAACCCAAGATGGAAGCTTTGCGGTTCGGCTTACTTGATTGCGCAGATTCAGTTCTATCCAACTCGAAATTGTACTGTTTTGTTTGGTTGACTATAGTGTAGCAGGGCAGGCACTATAGGGGTACAATTTAGGTGAAGGTTGGATGTTGTTTGTCTGTATCTGCATGCTACAGGGCCAGGGGAAACCAGCGGAACCAGCATTTGGCTGGTTGGGCAAAGACAAAACAGGTTCTGTTTTTAGGACCTGAACCTGGTTGTTGTTTTCCCAGGTTGGAAAAACAGAACCAGAGGTTGTTCACCAACCTATCACCTGCTATTTTGTTCAGCCAGGTTGGTTCTGTTGCTTGGAATTATTTGGGATCATCCCTGGTTGTTCCCAGGTTGATTCCCAAGGTCCTTGCTAGCTAGAGCTATTTATTCCTTCTCTGTTTGTACCTGAAAATAGTGAAATTGATTCAAGCGAATTCCTTCCTTGCTGGAATTTCTTTTCTACGCGGTGCGACGGCGGAATGCTACCCGAGTCAACGCTAGTACGCTAGCACTCCAACGCTAGGCTAACGCTGTCCGAGCCATAACTTCGTAATGGCAGAACTTTTCGCGAGGCAACTTGGCTTATTTTAAAGCTCTTAGAGTGAGCTTCGATATAGGAAATTCTCAGCTTAATCCGATCGACGGTCTGCACGATACGCTGCGCGACGTTCAAGGTACTCTTGCTGTTTTGACTAAGTCCCTCTTGATCCCTCTCTCTACAAACTCGGACCCGAGGATAGGGGCTGGTCTTGTACCAGGCACCCAAGGACCCTTGGAGGTGACCCCGAGGAGAGGTTTTAAGTGTGATAAAGTCTTAATAGCTTGAGTTTATTAGGCCCTTACACCAACAACTCAGTGGTGAATGTGTACAGGTCAGACCCCGGCTGCCGAGTGAAGGTAGCCAGGTGGCGACCCGTCCGAGCACACGTACAGTGGGTCACACGCTCATAGGTCGGGGTGAACTGGTGAACACCCCCGTCCTGGAGAGCAGAGCCCGCCACCAAGTTCATAGAGAACGAGGGAAGGTAAAGACCCGACAGGGTGCTGGACGGGGCCGCAGGACAAGGGAGGACAGTGGAGGAGGTCGCAAGGACCGGGCCCCCAGAGGGGTCAGTGAGGGAGATAGCAACAGGCCGAGCTAGCTGCTCAAGGACAGTGCGGTCACGAAAGAAGCAGCGGGAAGCACCTGAGTCCAGTGTGAAGGTGTGCAGTGCCTCAGTAGACGCAATACCAGCAGACGCAGACGCACGAGCACCTGGAGCAGCAGACTCACTAGCACCTAGAGCAGCAGCCTCACCACGACCAAGGGCAGCAGACGCACTAGCACCTAGAGCGGCAGCCTCAGTGGTCCCAATACCCGGGTCGGGCGGTACACGCAGGTAACAGTCACCCTCAACACTAATAGTCAATGCATACATAGCACCAAGGATAGCATCAAAATCAAGAGCAAAGATATCAATGTTCTTTTTAAGCAGATCAGCCCAGCGGGGCAGCTCAGAGGCGTCGCGCCAGGCGTCGTCGAGACGAAAGAAGCAGCGCTGCTCCGTGTGGAACCTCCCACAGATCTGGCCAGTGCGGTCACTTGTGCGGATGACGTACGGGCAGGTACCTCCACCCACAGACCCCCCACGCTGATAGTACCACTCACGGAGCTGCTAGGGCGACGGGGTCTCGCTGGGACACTGCTGCTGCTGCCTATGGCCACCGCTGAACCCCTCACGCTGCACCGCTCCACCGCACCCACCACCAGCTCCACTGCCGCCACCACTGCCACCACCACCCCCGCCACCCCCACCATCGCCGCCGCCACCACCCCCGGCTCTGCCACTGACCCCCCCACCACCAGCACCACTCCCACCACCGCCACCACCCCCGCCCCCTCCACCCCCTCCACCACCGCCGCCCCCGCGGCCACCTCCGCCACCCTTGCCCTCCTTGCCCCTGCCGCCCTTGCGCCTCCCACTGGGAGTAGACGCAACCCAACCCCCTCAGCACCGAGGTAGTCGACAGAAGCAGCAGATGCAATGGAGGGGAGAAGGGGGGAGGGGGAACATCCCTCAAAGAAGGGAGTGCGAGGGTCGCCACAAGAGGCACCTACAGCTACAATACTAGTCTCAGCTGCAAGGAGTTCCTTCTCGGGCAGGTCGACAGTGAGGTCGGTGGGGGAGAGGGCGAGAAAGTGGTCCCTGACAACGTGAAGAGAGTCAGGGAGGCGAGTGACTAGGTGGTAGAGTATTAGGTACATCGGGGGAGGGTTCTTGGCAAGGAAATCGGGGGGAAGCGCGGCACGGTAGCGAAGATCACTAGTACGGAGGTGAGTGATGAGGTCAGCTACAGTGGCAAAGGCAGACAGATCGGGGAAGAGATAGGGCAGCGAGAAACGGCCTATCGCAGCAATAGCAGGGGAGGAGTAGCGTGCAACTACAACATCGTACAGCTCCTTAGCGGTCATAAGCTGGCCAAAATGCTCGCGCTTGTCTAGCGGCAGGTGGCTGTAAACGGCTAGGCGAGCATGAGCGTCACGGGTCTGCCACTGTGAGCGAGCAGTACTATCAGCAGTAGCAGCAAGTGCAGGAGCGGCGCCGGACGTGTGGTCAAACAGGGAAACATCATCCTTGGCAGTGATCTGGAGGAACAGGTGCAGGTCATCGAGCCAAACGTCAAACTTACTCGGACGGCCCTCAGCGTCAAAAGTGAGAACGGTAGGACTGGCCATAGTGGCAGTAGCAACAGTAGGAAACAGTAGCACCAGTAGCAGTAGTAGCAGTAGCAGTAACAGGAGCAGCAGGTGCTGCAGGTGGTGCACAGTAGGGCGGCGCGGCTCGGTCAGGGTAGCTCGATTCTGGGAGGACGGCGTGGCGCGGCTCGAGCAAGGAGGGTGGGCCGGCGCGGTCTGTGGCTGTGCGTGGCGGCGGCCTACGTGCGGGCGGCAGCCTTCATGAGGGCGGCGGCCTACGTGCGGGCGGCGGCCTTCGTACGGTCGGCGGCCTACGAGTGCGAGGCGGCGGCGCGCGCCGGTCGACGGGCAGCTCGCGGGCTGTGCTAGGGGCTGCGCGAGGCTAGGGCGGGCTGCGCGGGGGCGGCGTCGACTGCGCGGGCGGCTAGCGGGTCGCGCGTACGAGGAAAAAGGGCCGCGCGCGGGCGGCTAGCGGGCTACGCACTAGAAAAACAGGCCGCGCACGGGCGGCTAGCGTAAGAAGGAGGGCGCGCGAGGGCGCACTAGGAACGAGGCGCACGAGGGCGCGAGTGAGGAAGGGCGCACGAGGGCGCTTCTAGCGGAACGGTGGGCCCGTTAGGAACTGGCGGTCCTAGGTTCCTAACCTAGGCTCGTAATACCATGTCAGAATGAGAGAAGTGGAAGAACTAGGAAAGAGTTGGGTACATATGGTAAAACCTAAACTTACTGTACCCCATAGGAATGTCGGAACCTCCCCACCTCCTTGTTGCTTGTTCTATCAGACTCCAGTCCTTGCTGCTCTCTCCTCCCTTATCTCCCAGGACTGGACTCGTTGGATCTCATCCCTTCCGTACACTCTTACCAGGAACCTCTCTTGCACTCGTCAGTCTTACTGATTGATCTCCTTTTTGTGGCCTCTGCCTGCACTCTCTCTTCCCCTCTCCCTCTTCTCTGGTACTGCTTCTTGTACTGAACTCACTCTTGCCCCCTTCACAAATAATAAGCCCTTGGCTCCTTCACATAACACACTCTGCGAATCGCTTTATTCTATCCTAGCTTGCAATATCTCCTTTTCCTCACTACTTGCTCAATTAGGTGCAAGAATATCGTGTTCAAAGGAAACATACAAGCATTGAGGCTAGCTACCACAAGGTACCTCCTATCTACCAGATCGGCCTCCGCCTCACTCATCTTGCCTACCCTTGCCTGTCCTCAGAGGCTAACGCGACTTTGGAACAGACTAGCAACCACCCTGCTAACTGCCTCTGCTGCCCGCCTCCTGCTTCTTTCCCTCTAGCTGCCACTGTGCTGTTCTAGCTGGCTCCTTGGAGCACACCTGCACACATACAAAAGCAAACACACATGCATGCGAGCACCCATCCGAGCTGATGTGGAAACCTGCTGGCCCTGCCGCTGCCAAGCGCTGTAGTTTCAACCCTTGCCCTCCTCCCTCTTACGTAAGTCCCGCCATGTTTGCGTCCCATGCCTTTCCCCAACCCTTCGCTTCGGCAGACGTCACCCTCCCGTGCACCCACTTGTCTCCCAGCAAACCTCAATCCCCACCTTGACCCTTCGCATCCCATCCTCGGCACTGCCCTCCTCACTATATACACTATATACAATTTGTACACTTCCCGATCTCTCCTCACTATCCCGCTCACATTCACATAAATGTGACAGCTGTTGGAACCTCCCCACCTCCCTGCTGCTTGTTCTGTCAGACTCCAGTCCTTGCTGCTCTCTCCTCCCTTATCTCCCAGGACTGGACTCGTTGGATCTCACCCCTTCCGTACAGTCTTACCAGGAACCTCTTTTGCACTCGTCAGTCTTACTGATTGATCTCCTTTTTGTGGCCTCTGCCTGCACTCTCTCTTCCCCTCTCCCTCTTCTCTGGTACTTCTTCTTGTACTGAACTCAGTCTTGCCCCCTCCCAGGAACAGCTGCCGCCGTCCTCGCCCTGGTCATGGGACCAGAGTACTGCTGCACTCCCTTTGCTTTCCCGGCCTAGGCCACATTAGTCACGTGGTCCATCACCCGCTTCCCACTCTCTCCCTCCAGCACCAGTACCCCTGAGTCTCGCACCTCCTTCACTGTCCACCTCTGCTGCGACACTCCCAGGTCCAACCCATCCCGCTTCGCTCGGCTGACATACACTTCACCTCCCTCCTCCACAGCCGGGTCTCGGCCTTGCATCCTTGCCAGCTGCCGCTGCTTATAGCGGTGAATGTCTTGCAGCTGTGCCACCTTCAAGCTCTCCATCGCGGCAGGCAGCATCTCCCTGAGGTACACCGCCCGCGCATCCGCCAGTGCCACCCACTTCTCTGCTGTTCCTGTCGACACGCTGTCCGTGAGCACTTTGGGAGCTCCCACCGGCAGAATCGGATGCTTCCCAAAGAGCAGATAGTATGGAGAGACATCCTTGAGCGCTGCTTGCTTGCTAAACCTGTATCCTGCCATTACCCACGCAAGCTTCTTGTCCCAGTCCCCCTTATGCGCCTCCCCATATACCCGCAGGCCTCTCTTCACTGTCTGCACCAGCCGCTCTGTCAGTCCGTCGGCCTACGGATGATACCTTGAGGTTGTGTGGTGCTGAATCCCGTTGGACGCCAACGGCTCCTTGAACTCTCCCTTAAACTCCGTCCCTTGATCTGTGAGCACCTCTCCACATGCCCCGAACCGTGTGATCACCATTTCCGCAAATGTTTCTGCCACTGCTTCTGCTGACTTGTTCACCAAAGGTCGTGCTTCCGCCCATTTGCTCACGTGCTCAATCATGAGCACAATGTACTTCCTCCCCCTCCTTGACACTAGCAGCTCCCCTGCAATGTCCAAGGACCGGCGATACCCGAGCTCCACTATAGCCAATGGCTGCAGCTCCGCCTGGCTCCTTGTTGGGTGCAAATTCACATTGCACGACATCCTGCCGTCTGTTTGTACGAGTATGCGTGTGCGAATGCATTTGCGTGTGAATGGTATGTTTGTGTGTTTGTTTGCTTTCGCAATTTTCGCTTGAAGCATTTGCAGGTACTCGCAAAATGTGCGCTTCGGCATAACATTGTACGCGCTATGAACAGTACAAGCAGAAAGGACGAGCTCGCAAAGGAACCCAAGATGGAAGCTTTGCGGTTCAACTTACTTGATTGCGCAGATTCAGTTCTATCCAACTCGAAATTGTACTGTTTTGTTTGGTTGACTATAGTGTAGCAGGGCAGGCACTATAGGGGTACAATTTAGGTGAAGGTTGGATGTTGTTTGTCTGTATCTGCATGCTACAGGGCCAGGGGAAACCAGCGGAACCAGCATTTGGCTGGTTGGGCAAAGACAAAACAGGTTCTGTTTTTAGGACCTGAACCTGGTTGTTGTTTCCCCAGGTTGGAAAAACAGAACCAGAGGTTGTTCACCAACCTATCACCTGCTATTTTGTCCAGCCAGGTTGGTTCTGTTGCTTGGAATTATTTGGGATCATCCCTGGTTGTTCCCAGGTTGATTCCCAAGGTCCTTGCTAGCTAGAGCTATTTATTCCTTCTCTGTTTGTACCTGAATATAGTAAAATTGATTCAAGCGAATTCCTTCCTTGCTGGAATTTCCTTTCTACGCGGTGCGACGGCGGAATGCTACCCGAGTCAACGCTAGTACGCTAGCACTCCAACGCTAGGCTAACGCTGTCCGAGCCATAACTTCGTAATGGCAGAACTTTTCGCGAGGCAACTTGGCTTATTTTAAAGCTCTTAGAGTGAGCTTCGATATAGAAAAATCTCAGCTTAATCCGATCGACGGTCTGCACGATACGCTGCGCGACGTTCAAGGTACTCTTGCTGTTTTGACTAAGTCCCTCTTGATCCCTCTCTCTACAAACTCGGACCCGAGGATAGGGGCTGGTCTTGTACCAGGCACCCAAGGACCCTTGGAGGTGACCCCGAGGAGAGGTTTTAAGTGTGATAAAGTCTTAATAGCTTGAGTTTATTAGGCCCTTACACCAACAAGCTGGTATCAGAGCTGCGTTATAGCGATCCTCGATATAGGTAGCTATGGCGGGCAACACCTCGGCGGTAGCTGGTGAATCTTCAGCCCAAGATCGTAGCGGCAGCCATGATTCTGGTGTTTCTGCGCCAAGGGGAGCGCGAACAAGCCAGGGCTCGCTGATCAAGGAGGTGCTGAAAAACTTCACCGTCGAGAAGTTCAATGGTGAGGGCTATGATGATTGGGCCTGGAAAATGCAACTTTATTTCCGTCAAATCGGATTGCTGAAACTAATGATTGGGGAGGAGCCTAGACCGAGTGACCCCGCCCTTCAGGAAGATTGGGACGAGCGCGCCTCGGCTGGCTACTACTTGATGTCGCAGAGTTTGGAGCTGAACCAGCGTCACCACGTCATGCACCTGCTGCCGGAGGTTGAGTGCGGTCCGAAGGCGTGGACGGTGTTGAAGGAGCTGCACGCCCCGACCCGTTGTTGCAACATTGATGCTGGAGAGGGAGTTGTCCGCGTTGCGCCTGAGCGAGGGAGAGCCGGTGCAACCTGTCCTGGACAAATTGCGCGACCTCTACGCGAAGTTGGCGACCGCAGGAATCACCTACCCGGAGCAAACAAAGTGCTTGAAGATGCTCTCGCTGCTGCCGGAATCGTGGCTTCAATTTACGAGCGGATTGAGCCTGCCGCAGAACCAGAGCTTGTGGACGCTCGAGTGGGTGCGGACGAAGATTCTGGAGGAGGACTTCCGTCGCCGCCAACTGAGGGGTGGAGACGACGGCAGCAGCGGCTACGGGATGCAAGGGAG